CCCTTCCCTTCCCTTCCCTTCCCTTCCCTTCTTCTTTCTCTTGAGATGGAGTCTTGCTCTGTCACCCAGGCTGGAGTGCAGTGGCCTGATCTTGGCTCACTGCAGCCTCCACCTCCCAGGTTCAAGCAATTCTCCTGCCTCAGCCTCCTGAGCAGCTGGGATTACAGGCGCCAGCCACCATGCCCAGCTAATTTTTGTATTTTAGTTGGGACAGGGTTTCACAAATGTTGGTCAGGATGGTCTCGAACTCCTGACCGCAAGTGATCCACTTGCCTTGGCCTCCCAAAGTGAGCCACCGGCCCATCTACTTTCTTGTTCTTTGTTAGCACCACCCTAATCCACCTCAGTTTCACCTAGGCAATTGCAAGAGTCTCTTAGTTGGTCTCCCATCCCTTAGTCTCTCTTTCTTTTCACACTCTTCCATTCTCCATATAGCAGCTAGAGTAATCTTTCCAAAATGCACATCCAGTCAGGCTACCACTATCTCTTGACCTCTCCCCACTGAAACCTTCCATCTTCCACCACTCTTCCCCTTCTATTAATACCTCCAACTTCATGGCTTCTTTCAATTCCTCAAGTTTGTCCTGATTGCTCTATATGGTCCCTGTTTCTGGAATGTCCTTTTCACTTCCACTTTGCCTATTTATGCCTCCAAATTGATTTCCATTGTTATTTCCTCAGGTCTTCCTTGAACCCCTTTACCTACCACCCACCCCAATCTAGTAAAGACCTCTTGGCTATGTGCTCGCAAAAACTAATGTTTGTTTCCTCAGAGCATGTATATTAGTTGGTAATTATATATTTATCAATGTGAACATAATATGTTTACTAAACTCAGTTTCCCCCAATAGACCTCCAAGGAGATGATGAAGGTAACCCTCTATTTTTGGCTTACCATCATATCTTTAGTACTTTGCATTATCCTTCGTAAAAGTGCTCAATCCTTGTTGAATGAGTCAATAGACAGATGAATATGTGATTGAATGCATCAACAGGAAAGACCTCCAAGAAGAAATAATGTTTGAACTTCCTCTTTAAAAAAATTTTTAAGGTCAGCCTTGGTGGCTTACACCTGCAATCCCAGCACTTCGGGACACGAAGGCAGGCGGATCACTTCAGGTCAGGAATCTGAGACCAGCCTGGCCAACTTGGCAAAACCCCATCTCTACTAAAAATACAAAAATTAGCTGGGTGTGGTGGTGCATGCCTGTAATCCCAGCTACTCGGGAGGCTGAGGCACGAGAATCACTTGAACCCAGAAGGGTGAGGTTGCAGTGGGCGGAGATCATGTCACTGCACTCTAGGCTGGGAGAGAGAGTGAGTGAGACTTTGTCTCAAAAAAAAAATTTTTTTTTAAATGTACACTTTTTTCTTTTTTCTTTTTTTTTTTTTTTTTGAGACGGAGTCTCGCTCT